TATATATATATATATATATATATATATATATATATATATATATATATATATATATATATATATATATATATATATATTCATGCTTATCTGTGTGTGTATATATGGAGGTCATGTGGTTAATGTGGTAGGGAAATTTTCTAGGTCATATATCTACTGTGTACTCAAAAATATTTTTGTAATTTAATACTCCTAAGAGTAGTCCCTCCGGGTCAAAAACTAAGTGTTAGTTTAAAATTTTGACACATTTATTACGAAAATTATTTTAATAATATATAATTATAAGAGTTATTTGACTGTTAGAGATTTGAAAAGATATATTATTTAATGCCTTGGTTTCCTGTTCTAGATCAAATTAGATCGGTTGAAAACATACTCCTTATTTTGTACAGGTGGGAGAGCCATTTAATTCATATTTGCATGTTTATGTAAATTGTGTTATAAACAATAAAAGAAGAAGAAGAGTATTGGAGAGCAAAGTAGAGGGAGGGAATTCTTATTGATATGGGGTGAATTACAATGGAATAGAACCCTCTATTTATAGGGAGATGGTGACTTAGCCACCAAGTAATAAACCCTAGAATCTCTCTAAATATAGACATTCACTATAAATAGAACTCTATTTATAACACTCCCCCTGAATGTCTATTCAACAGATAATGTGCCTTGTTAAAACCTTAACTAAGAGAAAACCCAATGGGAACAAAAATCTAGAAAAGGAAAAAGAGTACACATATCTAATAATACGCCTTTTGGTTGCCTCGTTAAAAACCTTGGAAGGAAAACCCAGTGGGATAAAATCTTGTAAGGGAAAAAAGTACAACGCGTATTAACTCCCCCTGATGAGAGCATCAATTCACATCCTTGAGCATTTGCATTCCAATCTTGTGCACCATCTTCAAAAGATCTTTGGTAGAGATTTGATGAACAAATCAGCCATATTAACTTGAATGAATATATTGCACCTTGAAATCATCATTCTTGATAGAGATATAATGTCTTCATAAATATCGTAGAATGGCTCTTCAATATCTCTATGGAGGTATTCTCGCTATCACATTATCATGCTTATAGTTATAGCAAGATACATATATGCACAAATTGCAATGAGGATGTGGTACTTCAAGATCAAGAATTGTATATGCTTCAAGCAATTTAAATCTTTCAAGGGTCTCATAAGTTAAGCCATATAAGTCATATAATTAGATGCATATCAAGGTTTCATGTCATGCTAGACAAATAAGATATCGAAAACTGATTGCACATATCATTGGCTTTATACTTTCAAGTATTTGAACTACATGTCTTTCATATGAATTCAAATTATACTTGAATTGTGGCTCTTCCATTTGGCCAATATTTTTGTGTCTATATTCGATAGACTTAAGATCATCATCTATCTTAGCGCTATGATAGATGTCGTCGACAAATATTTTATATCG